CATTTGGTCTAATTAATCATCTAATCATCACAATTTCAACATCACAAACACATATTCACGAATACAACCCCCAAAATCAAACAACAACATAGTATCTCTAACAATTAATCCATTAAATATCAAGCCATATAAATTCAATTTAATATCAATTATACATAAAAAAAAAAAAAACTATTTTCTTATGGTGTAGTGTGGATTGCACTTACCTTATTTGAAGTTTGCCCAATTCTCCACTTTCTTCCTCCTCTTTCTTTTAATAATTTCAACCGAAATAGTAAATTTTCCTCCTTCTTTGTTTGATCTTCTAACCTAATTTTAAGGTTTATTTAGGGTTTTTCTTTGCTAACTTAGGGGGTTTGGAGTGGTGGTTGAATTGTTTTTTTCTTGGTTGGTGTAGTTCCTCCTTTAGGGTTACTTGAACACTTCTAGCTTCTAACCCTTCTTCCACTTCTTCTTTCCATTTTATAGACATGTTTTTCCCTTAGGATTGAGCCAAGAGTGTCACGGTTGGTTTAATCTTAAGGTTGGTTATTAATGGTTTCCAGATTTTTCTACTTCTTCCTTATCTTTTCTTCCTCTTTTACCTTAGACATTTTCTTTTTGTTTCTTCCTTCTTTGCTACCTCTCTTCTTCTCCATTTCTCTTAAATTTTCTAGATTTTTCTTTCTCAAATTAGTCTCCCAAAATAAATTATTAAATCCCCCAAAACACATGCATTTTATATTTTAGTCCCTAAAATTTTAATTGCTTCATTCAAATCCTTTAAATCCTTAATTTCAATCCTTAAACTTTTAATTGTTCATAAATAAGCTCTTAATCTTGGCATTTTCAAATTACAAAGTGGTCACTTAAATTTTTTAATCATTTTAATTGAGTATCCAAACTTTTAATTTTTGTAATTATGCTCCTAGGTTTTGCAATTGTGTCCATAGGTTAAAACATAACCATATCAATTAATGTTACCAATATATAATTTAATCCTTACTCATTCCATTAACCTCTACTTTTAATCATAATTAGGTTTATTTTATTCTTAATTAAAGTTTAAATTTTTATTCATTGCGTTTGATAAATATTTCTTTATTAATTAAATAAAATATAATATATTTACATTCAAGAAGGATTTTAGGTCACGGATAATACATCCCTCCGACTATGAATGTCCCCATGACAATTTCCTCGGCTCAAATAAGCTCTACTCGAATCCGATGATGGACAACCATTTGATTTGTGAATAACTATTAAATAATATGTTTTACATGTAATAATTAATTTTATATTTTCATATATTATATTGAAATAATTAATTCACTTATTTCTTTTTCTTTTTTTTGTTCGACGAAGTTAGTCTCATCAAGTAAGTGCTCTAAAAAAATCATTGTAATTTTCAAGGAGCGATTAGACGTCGCCGGCTCCATATAAAAATTTATCTCCATAGAGATGAAAGAATTCTACTTTAATGAATTTAGGATAACATATTAATTATTTTCTTATGTTTTATCAAAGTATTAATTTAATATAAAAAGTAATAATATTTTTTTCTTCACTTATAAGTACTTTTATGGGATGTGATCATCGAATGCCGATTAAGAATGTATGGAAAAGTCCGACATGATGGCGATATTGCGACATACTTAATAAGTTAAAGCATAAGAGTAACGAGACTTGTATTTGTTAAACAACATGTGTGAAAAGTATGACACTAGGATTGAGCTACTCTCGAGTATTAGGCTCGATCTCGGCAAGTGTCTCAAAACCATATGTCGGAGACAAATGGTGTCGATCTTGGCCCTCCACGCATACCGAAGGGTCCATCTTATTGATTGAACACGGTAAGCATTTGGTAAATCCTATATTATCCATTGTGTTATAAATTAATTTTTGTATTTATTACATCTCATATTATTTTGTCTATTTTTTTTAATATAATAAATTTTTTCATAACCCAAATCCTTACGAGCTATTCATGGGTCATTCGTCAATAAGTGGTCACGTACAATAATGATAAGATTTGATATTTTTTACATCTATCAATATAATCTAAAAAATATATTTATAATTTAATATTATAATTATTTCAATAATATAGGAGCATGCAATCAATGCAAGAAGCAATCGCTAAGAAACAAGTAGAAGGGTGATTCATCATCTCCGGATATCGATATGTCCAAGATATATTTAGATGTTATCGGATGGAAGAAGAAGTAAAGGATGGATGATATTGAAACTTATGCATCTCGAGTATTACCTATATTCCGACATCAACTCCTTCTCTACCACTTCGTAGTATCCTGGTAGTAATATCCAAGAGGTTTTTGCCAAGTATGAAGATAGGATAAAGGAGAAGGAGGCACTATCTAGCAACGGACCGATCAAGTTAGCACCATATAAAGTCATTTATAGATAGTGATGTGGTTACTACAAAACTTGTAGTGGACTCGTGTCCTTCATGTTGACCCTCCCATAACTCGGGACTTAGTCGTCCTCTCAACACCTAAGTAGCCAAAAGATGATGCAAGAGATGATAATAATAAGGACTAGATTACTTTTTAAAAAAAAAATTAAATTTTTTATACACCTTAATGTATTTATATATCTATTTTATTTCAATTTATACTATTTTAATTTTATTAAATAATATATCATGTTTTAATAAGGTGTTGTTTATAATTGTTTGTTATTACAACTAACAATATACGGCTATTGATATTTTAAAAAAAAACTCCTTTATTTAACAACAAACTTACAAGGATATTTAACGACGGATAAATATACGATCGTTAAATAGCAACGAAATTGCAAGCATTTTAGCAATTATAATTTAGTGAGAACCATTTCATCATTACTTAGCGATTGATATAAGTGGAAATAGTGACATTATGATGGTGGATATAAGAGCTTACGTAAAACCGCTTTACATCGATTGAGTGATAAAAATTCAATAAATTAGGGATAGAAAATTCATCACTAATCATTGACGAAAAAAAATTGTCACTAAGGACATAGCGACCACCATATTAATGACAGAATTTATATTGTCTCTAATCCGTCGTTAATTGTATATAGCAATACATTTTTAACATATAGTGACAAAAACATCCGTCACTATATGCCAAATTTCGGTAGTGACAATATATATATATATTATCTCTAATCTGTCGCTAATTGTATATAGCAATACATTTTTAACATATAGTGACAAAAACATCCGTCGCTATATGCCAAATTTTTGGTAGTGACAATATATATATATATATATATATATATACTTATTTTATTTAAATAAGAAAAATAACCTTAAAAAGAATCAATAACAAAAATATCAATAGTGTAGGATACTACTAAATCCATCATCAAATTTATTATTTTGACTAGTTGTTTTTTTTAAAAAAAAAATCACCAATACACCTTTCAATCAATATTTGTTACTATATCATAGTTAAATATATTTTATATTAAATATCTAAAATGTCCACTGATATTTTTGCTTTTTAGTTTCTTTATTTTTGCTTTCACACCCATTAAATTTCAAATATTTGATTTAAAATATATTTAACTATAATATAGTAACAAATTTTAATGGAAAGAATGTATTAATAATTAAAAAAAAAAAAACAAGTGATGGGGATAGTGAATTTAGCAACACTTTAGAGTATATATGAATCATTAGTTAAATTATGTAGTATTTTTATTTACTAAAGAAACTTGTTTTCATTCTTACTTATATTATTATAAACTTTTTGTTTTATCAATAAAAAGATTGATATTTTTAAATAATTTATTTTAATTTCTTTAAAAAATCTTAAATTTAAGTTTAGACGTGAGATAAAAGTTTATTATTAAATAGTTTAATATGCTTATTCTGACAATACAAAAAATTACAATCATTGGCAGATGCTAGAAGAGGTAGTGGCCTCCAAGGTTTTCATTGCCTGACATCTTGATTCTCATTGTTTTAAAAGATATAGTTTGAATAGCTACATTGGATTAAGTCTCTTTGTATGTAATATAGATCAATTCTTGATTTAAAATAGTTTTTCATGACGAAGTTTGTTATTTATATAGTTAAAATCCTTAAATTATTTTACGAGCCAATATAGGATGAAAGAAACACAATGGTTTTAGACCACACGCTTTGCAACAATGTTAAACAAGTTGTAATGTACGTAAAATATTTGCTTGAGATGAATAAATAAATAAATAATCTCTTTTTTTTCCAATTATATAAATGCAAGTGTTTTACAATCAACTAATCAATTTAGAGACCAATTGATCTATATACAAAGGATATCACAAAAAAAATGTTATCTAATTAGGCTTACCTCTTTAAGGATTTTGGACATTGCTAGCTCCTACTTGCTTCATATCACAACATAACATTAAAAGCACAATGGCAGCTCATAATTAATCAAATGCCAAAGAGGTGCATTGAGTTTTTAACCGTCTCATTTCGTCTCCACTAGGTAGCTAGGTTATGTTATGTTATTATCATTTTCATCTTGTTTAACAAATTAGGACCTCCTTATCTCACTATTTATACATGTAAAAAATCAATTAATTAGACAGTTACATACTGCATTTTTTAGGATTTTAACTTAGACGTTGTTCAAGCCACATGGGGCCGAAGCAACCAGCAACCTTGATGGCAACTAAAATGGAGTTTCCCACGCCCTAGCGTTTGTATTACTCCTCTCTTACTGTCAGACAACAGCGTGAGATAACAATAAATTATGTTAATTATTTAAGAGACCGTACCGTTGAAAGCATAAAAGATACTACTACTTTTGTAGTAGCACTTACTAGGGTTTGCTATTCCCCAACGGCCATAACCCACCTTGAGCCCCAAAACCCAAAAAAGGCCTTTCTCTTTCCTCTTGCTTTCGCTCCTCTCACAAGTCACAACCATATTCTTGCTAAAGGAATTAATAGACCCCTCCTCTGCTATAAAGTAAACCCACAATCAAAAAAGCCCTTCACTTTGGAGCTACCACAAAGCAAAAATGTCCAACAAGTCCCCAATATTTCCCATGCCAGAACCTCAACACTTCAGCGACTATGGCTTTGACCCACAAATTAATTACTTTCAGGTTTGTTTCGCTCTTCAGTCCTTTATATGTACTCTTCATTTACTCTATCTACTCTTATGCATATATCCAATTAATTATTTGATGTTTTGAAGCGATACCATTTGTTTTGATTTCCTTAAAAATCAGTTCTTGGAGGAAGCAAGAAAGCACAAGAGAGAGACTATAACAGCAAGGTCTTCCGTTGACTCCTTAAATTTCAAGCTCCAAAAACCCATTTCAAAAGAAGAGTCTGCTAATAGAAAGATCCACAAAGCCAAGAAGAAGCAGAAGAAATGGTGGAGAAAAGCTCTGTTGTTCTTTAAGTGGAAGTGGATCCACAGTGGTCACAAAGATGATTATCTTGATCAGGAAGATGTGCATAAAGCAAGGGCTAGAGCTTTCAGAGCTTCAATTTCAGGGCCTGTTTATTTAACGGATAGTTTAAGTGGGTCAAGTACTCCTTACAGGTCCGCTAGCAGATCATCTTCAGGGCCGCTAGCAGGAACCTTGACTACGGCAAGAAAAGGTGATTTGGAGATACCTTATTTGAGTCTGAGGGACCTGAACATGGAGCAGCAGCAACAGAGGATTTCAACTTCTTCTATGCCAATATATTTGGTCACTTAAAAAAAAAACTTCATTTTGTTTTTAGATTATTGGGTTTGTTTAATGACTAATTACTTGTTGGATTGGTAAAGGCATGACTTATCTGGGCTAGGTTTTTTTAGTCGTCCTTTTGGGTTTGCCCTTTTTTCAGCTAGTGCAAACTGCAAAGGGGGTTTGATCCTTCTTGGAGGATTGGATAGGGTCCTCTTTTCTTTTGGGGTGTTTGTAGCACGCTTTATTGATTTCTGTAACTAACGAAACCGAACGATTAAGTCTCCCACTTTGTCTACGGAGTATTTTCTACCCTTTTTGAATTGTTTTTATACTTATATTCCCGAGTTAACTACTGTGTGTGAATTCGTATTTCTATACCAAAAGTTTAGCATTAAGTTGAGACTCTTATCTTATGATCGAGTACCCATTCATTGACTGCTGCTACCTTATAAAACTTCAGTGATGGATCTTGACTCTTAAATTAGTAGGTAGGATATCATGTGAATGTTCAGTGACTGTTGTTATATCATATTGGGTTTGTACCGAATCCCATTTTCTAAGGAAAATACAAAAAGGAAAAGGATTTGGGTATGGTGTTTACAGTAGATTTAATGGCGTAATTTACTTTAGAACTATTGAAATTATGCTAAAATAAAATTTATGTTATTAATTTAGACTATTTGGATCTCAAATTATTAATTTTTAAGTAAATTTTATTATATTTTGTAATGTTTGATGATTAAAGTTTTGTTCCTTAAAAAAATGCTTTAAATAATGTTGTTTAAGCATTTTAATTTTTTTAATTAAAACTAATTTTCAAAAATAATAATAATTCAAGATATATATATATATATATATATCATCTTTTATCTAACAATAAAAATCATATCTATAAATAAAAAAAAAACATTTACACTTTCTTAAAGTTAATTATTGTTAAAAAAAAATTTCAAAATTAATTTTAATTCTCAAAAAAAATGAAAAAATAAAAGAAAATTTAATAATTCAATTTCTTTTAATTTACTTATTCAGTTTCTTTTACTAGATGGATTCATTATACATCATTAATTATTCAACAACAAAATGTTGGTCCATAAACAATAAAATCATGTAAATTTTCTTTAAAGTAATTGAAATGAAGAAAATAAAGTTGTTTTAAGTATTTCTTTAGAATTAAAATTAATTTTGAAAAGAAAAATATTTAATAATAAAATTTATTAAAAAATAATAATAATTTAAGATTCAAATAATTTAAATTGATAGTATAGATGTTATTCTCGAACCACTTTAATAGCTTAGGAGAGAATTATGTCATTAAACTGTTCACAATGTCCATACTATTTTGGATTACGAATGGCAATCTCACCTGAGCTTGGCTCTATTTTACTTAGATCCGATACAGGAGCGAATGGAGGATCCAGCCGACTTCGTATTTTTTTTTATCAATATATATATAATTATTATAAACCCTATAAACTAAATCTAATTATCCATCCTTTACTGTTTAACTAAGTTACCCAAATTTATTTTCTTTATATATATATATATATGTTACAAATCTTATAAAAAGATTCTAAAGTTTCATTTAATGTTTAATTATGAATTTATGATAATAATGCTATTTAATTAGTATTAATTAAGAATATATAAAATTAGTATGTTATTGTCTCTTATTAATAATATATAATATCTCTCTATCAAATACTAAATGATATATGATGTACGTTATAAGTTAGATAGTTGATTTTTATTTTTAACTAAGTGATGCAAGTCAGCTTTAAAAAAAGAACGAAAGAAAGAAAACACATAATTCAACACTATATGCATGATTTTCTAAACATAAAAGAGATCTTGAATGATTTATATAACCATACTAGTCATTACAATATACTAATTAACACATACTACTAGTGATATTTAATGACATGATTTTATATTTTTAAATTGTATTTAGTATTAAGATTTTAAATATTAATTAGAAAAATAGGATTATTGGTTATGTGAGATTTTTTTTACACTAATTTATTATGATGCGATTTTCAGATGTTCTGCGCAAAATTTAAGGACTAGTTTAAAAGATTTTATTTTTTATGTTTTTAGAAAAAAAAAATTAACTCAAGACGGTTGGTTTTAGCAAAAGAACCTCTATTCATTTAAGTAAATTGTTTCTATTGTATATATATAACATTTTAAATAGTTATACTTATCTTGTACCATCGTAAAACAATATATTAGTTTGAGTTTTTTTACCCAGAATACCTTGAAAATCCAAGGTAAAAAAAAAAAAAAAAAGGTCAGGTACCTAAGGAGTGGAAGTAGTCCTTTGTCTGACCTGATCAAACCAAACCGGACGTGCAGGTGAGTGGAGGACGTGGGAGCATGGAAACTTGACCCAACCCTACCAATTGCCATCCCTACTTTGGAAAATTGAGCGATTGGATTTTGCTTGTCCAATGAACCAAATAGTTATTGCTCACGCTACGCTATAAGGTTCGATAAAAAAAATTATTTTAAAATTTTATTTTTTTAATTAATTTTTATAATTTTTGACTTAAAAAAACATAAATCATTCTTTTTTATGGATTGATTTTAAAATAAAAATATAATAATTTTAACTAAAATATTAATCAAGAATTAAAAAATTTAAAAATATAATTTTATATAATATTGTATTCTAAAAAATAAAGTTATAATTAATGGACAAACTTTTATAAAAATTAACAAATAAAAAAAATATTTCTTATTTAATGCTAATGAGAAGATTAATTTTTAAAATTATCCATATAACGCTACGAGTAGATAGAACAAAATCATTTAAAATTTTTATTATATATATATATATATATATTGTGTTTTTCATCAAAATTTTGCTTAAAAAAACATGATTTATTCTTCTTTATTCAGTGATTCTTAAATAAAACTTGTAATAATTTAAACTTAGAATATTAATTAAGAATTCAAAAGCAAATACATTAAATTTTATGTATAAGAATATATTCAAAAAATAAAGTTATAATTAATGTATAGACTTGCATAAAAATTAACAAATAAAAAAATAAAAATGTATTCTTATTTAATATTGGTGAGAAGATTACTTTTTTTTTCAAGTATATGCATTAGATCTATATATATTTATTTAAAAAATAATCAACAAAATTAGCATAAAAAACTATATTTGAATAATTGGCTAGTTCCTTTAAAATATTATTTTAATTATTTTATTTCAAATAAATTGGTTTTATTATGTTAAAAAAAATATTCATAGTAAATAATTTGTATTATGTTGGAAGATGTATAGTTAATTTTTAATAAAATTAACGATTCAATAGTTTTTTTTATATGTCTTGATCATACTTAGTGGATTGAGACAAATTACTTGAAATACACTTTTAACCTTTTAGAGTAAAATAATTATATATTTATATATGTTGCAACTATCATTTAAAAATTTTTAAGAATTTTATGATATGTTATGAAATAATGAATGTTCATCATCATGTTCATCTACTTTATATATCTCTACTACTCGATAATTCTTAATATTATTCAATTCATCATTCAATATGAGAAATTGAAAGAGTGATGCAATTGATTATTCATAGTCCCATCCAATTCTATTTTGAAATTTAAAGCCTATTAATAGGCTTGATTATTTATTAGTTGGTGTACAAGCATTTTATAGAGATTGTTAGAATTGTTTAGAGTTGTTATACTGTTATATTCTTTTTATAGTGAAACCATTTCTTCATCGTTTTCCTCTTCAATTCTCCTATTATTTCTATTTTTTTAATAACATGTTATCCGCACGAAGTTCTAACCAATCAAGATAATAGACCATGAGATATGTATCTACCAAAATACTTAATCAATTGTTTCAACAATTGGATTTCTTTTGCACAAGTGCTTTACGAATTGGATCTAAATTATTATTTAGATCATTAAGAGGTATGTATCTAATTTAATATGTATTTTAAATTTAATGATACATAGAATATACATTTGAAAATTTTTAATGATTTAGTATATCGAATCTAATAATTTAATATATATTATTTAAAAAGTTCAAATTTTATTATTATATTTGTTTTTATTTAAATTTTATTATTATATTTTATCTTTATTTCCTAACATTATTTTATACTTTGCAATATATAATTTTAATGATATCATATCAACCATCACAAAACTTGATTTTGTGGCGCTTGACATTTTAGGCAAGAATTATTGATCACGAGTGTTTGATGCTAAGTTAATATCATCTATTTTTCATGTCTCAAATATGCTCATGCGAGTAACATATCAAGAAAAGGAGTTTAAAAAATATTTTGAATCAATTTCATACTTGTTCATGGAAGCTAAATAAAACGACAAGCTATTAATGAAAAAGAATAAATCTTGACCAATTGGGTATACTCCATCCCACGAAGTGAAGTGATAATTTATAATAATTTTAGGTATGGAAGAAGATGTGATCATAACCATAGACGTGGTCGAAATAATTATCATTATAATCGTGATGACCATAATATTATATCTCACCACCGAAGTGGATAACTATGAAAAAAAAAGAGAAATAATGAAAATAGATTAAGTCGGTGTTCTGAAAAATAAATATTATAGATGTGGAATGAATGAATATTGGTTGTGTACTCGTTATACACCAAAGCACCTCATTGAGCCTTGTCAAGCCTTATTTAAAAATAAAGAGTAAAATATGAAAGCCACTTTTATATATCAAAATAATAGTAATTGAAATTAATTACTTATTAGTTTTTCTATTTATAAATAAAATTTTTTATATTTCTTGTAATTTATATCGTATAGTGATGGTTATAAATTTATTTTACTATTTATTTATTTGTTTGTATTTATGAGGAATTTATTTATTTATTTATTTTGTATTGATTTATTTCATTATTTATTTTATGTTAATATTATATATGATAATATCAATATAATAGAAAGCTTTAGAAGAGCGACTATCTTATTATCTAAAAAGATAAATTTTGAAGGCTCTAAAAGAGCGA